GCACCAAAGACATGATTTTAGATATGCAGATATGCACCATCAACAATAGAAGAATGGGAAGAACAATCTAAGCTATGGCCAACTTCCTTCCATCCACCCACCTAGTTAGTTCCTGAAAAGTGTATTTCTTTGTTGTATCCCAACATAATTTTGAATATCTAACTTTCTTTCGACCGGAGCAATATCGATGGCATAACTGGATTTAGTAAAGACAATTCGGAATCAGTTTCCAGCTTCATGACATATGCAGTTGGTTTGGCAAAATCTGGTGTTAGCTCGGTAACTACCTAATGCTTTCTGGATGCCTTTGCATCATTAAATACATGCTACTTTGGTGCCATATTTGAAATGAATTTATCTCCTTTTCACATTTATTGCTTGAAATTCCATTAGAGTTGTAATTTACTAGTTTCCAGATAAATTATTTAGACGTGTCGAAATGGAAAAGGTATGAAATTATAAATCTGAGTGAATGATAAATGAAGTGAAATTATCTTCTGTATGCTGCATTATCATTGTGCCTTTGTGAGAAATGAGATGAAATCCTACTAGATTGGCCTTGTAGGCTTCTATGATCCTAGGTAAAAGAGAGAACTTCACTTGTAATTTTTCAATGTGTTTATTCAAATGTAATGGAAGATCTACGTGAAAGGGCCATTACAAGGGCTTAGCAGTGCAGCTTAAACTGTTTAACATATTCTGCTAAAGCGTGCTGGCTGATTTTGCACGCATTTATATACATTCTGGTTATAGATATTGAGTGACATATTGTCCATCCTATGCCTTTTTCTTTGCTTTTTATCTTCGAAGATACTTGTACTTAGGATTGGTTGTTGGTCTTTTACAAACTCACTCTTTCAGGTCGTGAATGCTGCTGTCATTGTGGATCCTTCAACCATGCAGGTCATAGCAAGCTCACATGTCTAAGTCCTATCTTGTAATACTTCCATAAAAGAAAGCTGCATGGAAACAAGTTGCTCAAGTTTTCCAGAAGCAGCTCAATTTAATTTCATCAAAGCCAAAAACTGTCAGTCATTTCTTTCAAAATGTTCATGTTCATCCAAGGACACAAAGCATTCTTACAATGGTGTTTCTTGTTTACGTCCATGGAGCTGGTTTGAACATGAATTACATACGTGTTCTGGTTCTTGGCATCCTTTACAACGTGCTGTGATTGTAGAAAATTCTGCTGTGAGGGATAGGCATCTTTTTCCAGGGAATGGACGCAGTGCAGATGAATATGTTCAAGAGGACTATAAGGTGTCCTTTCCAGCAAGTTCTCTTTTGAAAAGACAAAAGATTAACCTTGCAAAAGTAACTTTGCATTATAAATTGTTATATGTCAGAGATAACTTGTTAATATATCTGGAGGGCTTAGCATGAGACGGTCATGTTTTTTTCAAATAATCAAAACTTTCATAATTGCAATTGCATTATATTTTACTGTGGTAAAATTTTATTCCATTGTTTTTCTTCATTTACTAAATTTGACAACAACGTTTGTATCTTTTAGCTAAATGATGATGGGAATATGAACTGTTTTGCAAATCATCTCTCTGATTCATCCAGACCTTATTTATGTACTGGTTATGACATCTACAGTCTACTTCTGTGGGAGCCATGCACAATGTGAGTTTCTTTTTCCAGACTATTATCTTCCACCATTAATTTTAGTTCTTTTTTTAATCAAGTACTTCTTGAGTAGGTTTTTCAGTCCTTGAGTTGTTGGATTCTCCCAGACATGCATCTTTAGTCAGTCTGAATATGATCGGTGTTACTTCTTGATCTAGCTGCTTAATCATATTGGATTTATATTAATTTCTGTTCATTTATATTTTTAGTAGGGGTTAAGATAAATCAGGTGTTTATTTTCATGTCTTCACGTACTCTTGTATTCAGGTGTGCAATGGCACTGGTGCATCAACGAATTAAAGTTATCTTTTATGCTTTCCCAAATGCAAGAGATGGCGCATTAGGGAAGTGTTCACAGATTGCAAGGAGAAAGAATCTTCAATCATCATTATGCTGTTTTTAGGGTTCTAATTCCTGAAGAGGTCCTTGAAAGGGAAGCATTAGTTGGAAAAACTGCCGAGAAAATCACACAAATTTTCTTGTAGGTATGGATCTTAGAGCATCTCTAATAGACTCTTTAAAAGTGAGATGCTTTTTATTTTTAAGATCTGAACTTTGAATCAGATTCGAATAGACTCTTTATTTTAGTTTTAAAAAAATAAATAGTGAGTTTGGCTCTCTACATATGAAAAGCCAAATTCACTCTTTATTTGTATTTTGTCTAGATTATATTTAATAAATTATGATCTTCAATAATCTACTGAGAGTATTCATATTATACTGAATTTTTAACTATTGACATCTAAAACAAAGTTTATTAATTGAAAATGAGGAAAAAACAATAAATGATTGTTGGAAAAAGTAAAATAAAGAGTTTGTTGGACTGAACAAAGTTTAGGTAAAGAATTTATATAGCCAACCTTAAATTTATGATGAATAAGACTCTCTTCAGGACAACTTTTTTCCGTTCACCGAAAAATTCGAAGCTGAACTTGAATAGACTTTATGATCTCTATTTAAAGAACTTTCCCTATGTATGGCCAACGGTACTTGAGAAAGCACTATGTTCTGTATGATTGAAAAAAAGTCTTGTATTTCCCTCTTTTCCTTCAGTATGCCCTACATTATTGTTGTGAGTAGTTTTCCTTCATTTATTTTTATTTTTTTCTGATTTTTAGAGGTAATAATTGAGTTGCTAATTTTTATTTTTTTTTATTTTTGCAGGAAAAGATCTCCATCAAATGGACTTTGTTATGTAAGAGTCAAAAGTTTTATAGAACGTTGTTGGAATCGTCCTTGTTTTGTTTGTTCAGTTGTTTATTGTTCAAACTGGATATCTCGATTTTAAGATGGATCATTGTATGATCATCAACATTGCTAATCGACAAACCCGGTCTAGTCTCCCAGTTCAACCTAAATGAAGTAAACTCTTTCTGATCGGGAAGATGCAATTAGGAAGGCCAATTCACGGAGGAAAGGGAGACAAATTGACATCGATTTCATTGTACAGTCTAAATTTTCCCTTTATTTAAAGTAGCTATGCACAAAGAGCAAGCTGCTCTTCTATCAGCAGAAACCAGAAAGCCTGTTTAGTCCCAACAGTTTTGATTGTAATTAGAACCTTTGTATTCCAATTTCTCAATAGTAAAAAAATCATGCTTGATTTGATTTAAAAAAAGTACTTTGTCTCCATGTTCAAGCTTCTATATTTCCAGGTTCCTTGTGGTTTATTTCGATTCTATCTCTTCATTTTATAGTTATTTCATATTCGCCTTGTTGATTGTTTTTCAGACTACGCCTCTTGAATTTTTCAACACTTGCATTCAGATACTGATCTTTTTTCCGTAAGCTTAAATCTTATATTATCCTAGTGTTCGAGGAAGCAATCTAGGGCATGTGTCGCTTTATCCCAAGAGCTAGAAATCAAGTGGTCAACATGCTTGCTTGCACTGTATCAATGCCTATGGCACAATTCTGGTTAGAATATATTTCCTATTTTCCTCTAGCATGTTGTTCGTGGAGATATTCACTAATGGAAGTTAAAAATGTAAAAAATAATAAGACGCCTTAATTAATACGATAGCTCAAATTAACCCCCCCAAGTTAATTTTTAGAATGAATTTGAAGTCCCACCCATGTTTGCATGCTTAGGAAGTGGGAATTATGCTTCTTCATAGCTCATCTATGGCATGTATACTAAAATGGATGAGATTATGCTCTCGTTTGATAGCAATTTTTCATTCAGATGAATTGATTTTTTAATCGTTATTTTATCATTTTAGCCATCATTTTTGAATCATTTACTCACAAGTGAAGCTCACTTTTCTCTCAAACAATAAAATTGTTAATTCTCATAATAACTACGAAATAGCCTTGCATGTCACAAGATGCAATGGATTTTATCATGAAAATAAAGAAAGAAAATGTGACAATTTTTTTAGACAATGTGAGATAACATTGCAAGAAATCACAAATATATATATATATATATATATATATACCCCGAGGAGTGTATCCCGAGGACTCAATCTATACCCCACCTCATTTCTCTTCTTCGGTCCTCGGGGTCACCTAAGTCCTCGAGATATTGTAGTCCTCGAGGACACATTTACATTCCCTCAATGTCCTCGAGAATAGTCCTCGAGACATACACCACCAACATGCCTCCTAAGACCTGGGTACCTAGCTAACAAACCTAAACACCCAAGGATTCCACATCAACCCTACCACCACTTGTCAAACAATTCCATTACAAGTAGGACACTCTTTATAATAGAAATTCCCTTGGATAAAAACATCCAACCAACACGATCCTACTAGGAGTACACTACCCACTCCTATAAAAGCAGAACCTTGGACTATTATTTAGGTACGTTTTTACATTGTTCTTCAGCACATAGCCTCACGCATATATTTCCCCTTCTGACTTAAGCATCGGAGGGGCGACGAGAACGCACCTCGTTGCCTTTGTTTCAGGTATCGGAAGATCACGTTCGTGCTCAACATCCGTCATCAAGCTCGGGAAATCTACAGATACGAATTTTTGGTAGCATCATATATATATATATCATTGTCTAATTTAATATAAAATATTTCAAACTAAAGCTTCGAAAAATAATTTCTAGATTATTTTTGGGATATTGATATTGATAACCCATTTTATTATAATTAGTTATATTTTAATTATATATGTTTCTAATCATGATCTGTTATCACACTTATATCTTCAATTTTTTTTTTCTTCCACCACATTCTTGTTTTCATTTTTTTTAATAATTAGTACGTTTGGGTTGATTAAAAATAAGAATACGATGAAAAATTAAGGCTGAAAATAAAATTCGATAATAATTAAAAGTCAAATATAGTCTTTTACTGTAATATAAAATTAGTGCGTAAATAAAAACGCATGGGAGTATAATAACCCTTTTGTCGGATCACAAAATTAGCCAGCGCCGTAGTTGCAATGACTAATTCACCCCGAGGATTTTATGAATTTTCTTTCACTTTCATTTTGGATAAAATAAATAAAAGATCAAATTGAAATCTTAAGGACGTTTCTGTCGAACACAGAAACAAAAACCAAAGGCACACTTCTGAACTCTGCTCAGGTAAAAGAAAAAATATTTTCAGACACCTGTATTAAGAGCTTTATATGCATTTGATTTGATTTTTGAATTGTTTTTGTGTTCAATAATTAAGCCCTGCTAGAAATTTCATGATTGAAATTGTGGGTTTTATTTATTTCTAAAACATTGTTTTGTAAAGAGAGATTTGAACTTCTACAAATTTGTTTTGTGTAGATATTTCATGACTCATTGAGTAGAAGGAGCCAAGAAGAAACTGCCACTCAATTTCGGTGGGATTTAAAGCAATTATGGCATATTTTCTTGCAATGAAGATGTGCCCACTTGCCATTTATAATTCAGTTGGACATATTAGCAAATTTGGTGAGTTCAAGTTATATTTCCAGAAATTATATGAGGATTGGTAGCTTGAATTTGAGTTTCTGCACCATTTTTATATATCCATTTTTGCCATGAATTTGAGTTTGGTTGATGGTCGAATACGAAGTTGTGACGTGGGCCTTTGGATGCCTCTTATTGAGGGTGTCTGCTAGTGTGAGAATAGGAGTGTGATTAGTCAATTGAGGAAAGAAGTATGTGACACATCCCGGCAATAGGCAGAGACCAAGATTTTTATGATGAGCTACAAGGTATTAGATCATCTTGAATGCTGGTGTAAAATTGAGTGTAAATTGGTATTTATCTAAAACTACTTTTGCATCCTCATTTACATTCCAGTGGATCTAAATTTAAATTTTGCTTCAATTTAAATACATTTTCTGCCAAAAAATGTAATTTGCATTTCCTTTACATCTCTCCACTGAAGAGGTTTCAGGTCACTTTGGAAATCTAAATCAAAATTTAGATCTATTTTACACTACGATTGGTGATGCTCTCAATACCTTTGTTAGTGAGGCCTATGTTTCTTCTTAATTTCTCTACAAGTAATGATATGATTCACTCCCCAAAATGGCTTCTGTCATGGATTGAGTCGTAATTCCCATTTACAAGAGCAACGAAAGAAACGAACACGCAAAAAAAGTAGTGATTTACCATCAATGTGTGAGCCATGCACACTTGCTGCATCAAACTAGTTTGAATCCTTTCCAGTGCATAGAGCGAGATTACTTTCTGCTATGCTTTAATTCATTTTACTGAACTCCGAGAGATGTTTTGTTCATCTACTTCTGTTGCTCTCCATGTGTTCCGTCTTGTCCTTAACTGCTGTCTTGTTTCACTTCAAATCAGATAGACTGCAATTCAGGTGTCACGCTATGTTCTCATCCGAAGAAGCATCATCTCGTCGCCAGTTTGTCATAGGATGTAGCACCATTTATTCATGTGCATTTCTCAACCTGAACTGCAAGTTAGTCGAGTTGCCTGCTTGGGCAGGGGAGGAATCAAATGCCTTGGATGATAATAATGATGGAGTGCTCGGGGCTATGAAGTCCTTGTTCGATCCTAATGAGAAGACAAAATCTGGAAAAGTTTTGCCAAAGGCTTACTTGAAATCAGCGAGAGAGGTGTTGAAGACACTGCGTGAATCATTAAAGGAAGATTCGAAGGATATTGCTAAATTTAGACGAACGGCTGATGCAGCAAAGGAGTCGATTAGAGAATATCTGAATGGTTGGAGAGGGCAAAAGACAGTTGTCAACGAGGTAAATTCATTTGACTGACTTTTACAAAAAGTTGAATAGGTGGTTTATTTTGCTGCAGACATATGCTTAACATACAAATAAAACAGGAAAATATATATGAAGGCGTTGATTGTTTTCAGTTCTTCAAAAGAGAGTCTTCTAGAGTTTGAGAATTTGCACTATTATTCAGCCATTTTTGTGAATGGATAATATTTTGACAGTATTAAAGAAGAAAAAATAAGTTAAAATTCATGTTCTTATACTATCTCTCTTTGTGTTAAATAGAACGTTCTATTGTCTCTTTGTTGGACAGGATAGAAAAGTGAATTGAAGGATTATACCTGACTCTTTCTTTGTCGGGTGGCTAAATTGCTGTCACGGTTTTCGTTTGTTACACCACACCTTTTTAAACTAAAATGGTCATAAGTAAAATGACATAAGTAACACACTTTTTGAACTTTTTTATTTGACATAAATCATTTTTTTTTCCCTTCCCCCACAGCCATTTATCTTTATCTTTTTATAAACATCAATTGTACAGGGCAGCAGCATGAATTTGGCTTCACAGTTGAAATGGAGGAAGAAATTAATCCCAGTTTCGAACTATTGTTTTCCCAACACTCAGTTATCTTCCCTAACAATCTCCTTTCCCCCCTTCATGTCAACGCTCACTGCCCCACCACCTCTTCCTCCTCCACCACCACCTCCACAACCACGCCCCAAAACCCTTTTCCCCCATATTCCACAGCCTTAGTCTAAAGCACCGTCATTATAACCAACCTGTACGCGACATCCTTATCGGCGTATCCATCAAAATGGTGTGTTTATGAAGTGGAGCAACAAGCAAAAATTGTGGTGATAATATAACCACCCTTCTTGGAAAATTTTCCCAAAAAACACCCACACCTCAAATGGAGTAAGTAAATAGACAAAATAGCAAAAAGAGAATGTGCTTGTGTTGCAAATTGTCCGCACAAAAACGACGTGATAAATCTTTTACAGCAAACATAAAATGTTGACATGTTTGATAGGTTGAACTGATTCATAGTGGGCATTTCTAAGAAGGAAAAGGAGTTAAAATCTTGTCCATTATTCTGCAGTACTAAATATGACAGGAGGGCATTGATACATCAATGTTTTACCTCTCGTTGAGTTAATTATCGTTATTTTATGTCATTTGATCTCCTGGATGCAGGAATCATATGTTGTGCTCGAGAAGGCCATTAGATCTCTTGCCAGCTTCTACTCGAAGGCAGGGCCATCTGCTACCCTTCCAGAGGAGATTAAGTCTGAAATCTTAAGCGACTTAAACAAAGCAGAAGAACTTTTGTAGAATGAGTATCTTTCTTCACTTGTTTAAATGCATCAAGTGCCACCAGACTACTTGTTGATGACCACTTTCATTTAATCAGTGTATAATCAGTCGGTCTCTAGTACTTCTGTGTTATTGTGTACCACAAAAATATATGAATTTTTTTTTTGCGGAATATAAATTATTGCAGTTGAACTTTTAGTTTCAAATGGTGTTGAGTAGCACCTGGCTTCGTTTGACCTCCGGAGTCTGCTCCTTGGAGAAGTCTCAATCCATGTCGAATCTGATGCTTAAAATATATGATTCCATGCCCTTCTTTTAGTTCATTTTTTGAAAATTCATTTTTCTCTGAATTCATTTTTAATCATACATTTTCTCACTGAAATGATTTACCCGTTAATCCCAAATTTTTTCTTAGTTTTAATTACACTTTTCAAAAAATCACCATTACAATATTCGTTTTTTCCAAAAAATGGGGCTCAAACAAACTTTATTCATTCTTGATCTTCGATCCATCATTCTCTTGCTTCAAATAGGAGAAGGATTTAGACGTATATACTAACAAGTATCTTGAAACTTGTTTGGACGATTTCGAGTTTCTATCTACATTCAATCTTCATTGCTTGCCATTTGAAAAGACTTTTGAAAGTCATAAAGTGCTTTTAAGCATGTTTGAATAACATTTTACAAGTACTGTCTGTATTCATTGGGAGTTAGGAGACCTGAAGAAGCATAGGTATAAAATACTGCACTTATTTCCTCATTTATTTATTTACTTACTTAAATACACATATTTATCAATTTTTTAATACAATTTAAATCTGAAACCCAAAAATGAATTTGAAAATAAAGTGGAATTCTTTAACCCCCCCCCGCCCCATTATCTATACCAAGATTCAAGTCAAGTCAATTGATTTGATCACATAATTAAAGGAATTGATTTGACAACTTTCAAGACAATACACCAATTATGCTTTGATCATATACATAACATCTAGCCATTTCCTTTCAATAATCTATGCATGGTCCAAGACCTTGCACTATAAATGGGAGTTAAACTCAAACATTGGACTATCCTTCACCAATTATTTACACTATTCATTTCTATCTCTATCACTTTGTCTGAACGCCTTTACTTTTTCTCGTCTTTTTCCTATTAAATATAGTCACACACTTACACAATCACACAATCCGACACGCGACTCAAGGATCTCCCTCCAACAATCACTTCTTCTATCATTTTTGAATTGTCAAGTGAAAAGTAAGTGTAGTAATACAAATTGTTCTTTCATTATTTAAATTACAAAACTTTATGTTATGAATATAATGATTAGGAAATCCAAGTTATAATTATTATAAGGGTCTTATATGTCTAAGTTCAAAGGACAGGAGTTTAGTAGCGCTACACATGGGAATTACAACCACGGAGTTCAAATTTTAATTCCCGTGTCCCCATATGTATAAATTCAGAGGATCGGAGTTTAGTATTGCTACGCATGAGAATTATAGCCACAAAGTTCGGATTTTAATTCCCGTGTCTCCATATGTATGTTATGATTTTCCGTAATTAAATATGAGATGCAAATTCGTTATTACTCATTTACTGAGATTTATGTCTCACGTGTATACGTTAAAAATTTTATAGGTAACTAAAAAGGGCGGATTTGAGACGATCGGAGGTGAATTGTGCTTGTGTGGATGAAAATGAAGAATGATTTAAGCTTAAGATTTTGATGATTTTTATTTTTTATTTTTTTTATTTATTTTAATAATTTCATGTTCAAAAAATATTATGTTTTACATTGTTTATGAAAGTATTATCTTACGGTACATTTATAACGATTTGAAAGGTAAAAATTTGGATTGTTACATAGTACATGCCAGCAGACAGTAAGCATTAAATAGGAAGTAATTTCCAAACATGTTCGAATAAGTTACTTTTAGTTAAAAAAGAAGGTTAATCATTTTGCAAGTAATTCTTACCTTACTGTTTAAAGTAGTAATCTACTCATTTTTAATTTTTATCAATAGAAAATTTTAATTATTTTAAAACTTATTTACTTATAAGTTAACTTTTAGTTTGGCCAAACACAAACATCTCTTTGATATGTATGAGCTATGCAATGACCACATTGGGATAGCTGTCCAACTCAGGTAAAAGATAAGTAAATTATCAAAGGTGTATTCACTTTTTCTGTAAACATAAGAAATCATGTCAAAGAATTGTTACCATCAGTAGTAACAAAAAAGCATCGCTATGCCTAACCATCACTGAAGATGTGAAATGAGTCGAACAATCATACTTGCCGTATGTGGAGTGTCATTCCAGAGGTATTGACCAAGGACTGAAAGAAGTGCTCCACCAGCTAAAAACAACAAAAAATTGTCGTAGTCAAACAATCTTAGCATAGTTCTATTCAAAAAAAGTGAAAATAAAAGCGTGTCGAATTTGGCTGATTACACTAGTTTCAGAACAATTAGCACAAATACAAACATGCTAGCAAATATTAAGAAAATCTCAAATAAATTCATCCCAAATATCAAGTAAACATTGAATTCAAAATACCTGAGTGTCGTATGTACCAACTCTCTCTGTCGGTATGTGTAGATCATAACCCAAATGTGGTCTTCCAGATAAATCCTATGATATGGTCAACAAGAATATAATGATAACATAATATCTAAACTTTTCATTACTAAAACCAACAGCATAACTTTGGATAAAAACCACAACAGGCAGTCAAGGGAGTAATCTAATCTTGTTATACATAGTACTTCTGCCTCCTTTATGCATCCAAGAATGATTGAATGAGTTCAGTATCCTTCTCATAAAGGTTATCCGCCATATTCACTTAATGAGATTAAATAAAATTCAAGGATGCATCTGAAACGAGAGGTTATCCCGTACATTGTCCAAGTCCACATGGGCAGACACCATTTTTTTAAAATTTAATTTGATGGAAAATAATAAAACTGACGGAAGAGTTACTTCATAGAAGGTTTGGTACGATACCAATGAAACATGTATTAGTGCTTCGTCAAGTGGAGCTGAGAAGTCTCCAAACCGGTTGATTCCTTTTCTATCACCAAGGGCTTGTAGCAAAGCCTGCATGGACAATCATTCTGAGCTGTCATTTTCAATTTATACAGCTGAAAATTTTAGGGATAAAAAATAAGAAACGACGTATTCAAGTAAAAGACACTAGTTGAAGGCTTCTAGAAACTTAAATCACTTTACTCTGCTCATTACACATTACAAGCATACTTTAACCTACAGAAATCACTCTCTATAGATAGAACAATTGTGTGACTTCCGGAGACATGGAGAAGTACAAACATAGAAGTTAAAAATCAATAAAAAATTGAGTGTAGCTTTTTGGATAATAACCAAGAACAAATCCATAATGGTTGTAAGGTCAATATAGATGTACACTTTTGTTTAATGAAGGGCCGGACTTACAAACCCATGCCCTGTCCATAAATCATAAGCCGATAACAAATATCAGAACAAACAGCACATAGCACAGAAACAAAGAACATATACATGTTTGGCACACCATAATTGACTGGACTACACATCATGATGAACAAGATATTAGCTTCTTTTTCTTCATTGATAGAATCCACTACTAACCAATCCCATCTAACAAATAAGCACATAAGGTCAATGTGATATCTAAACATTTGTTGGACGAACAATAAATTTTGTAATAAAGAACTGGTAAACTTATTCCAAACTCACCGTTCCAATGGCGAGGGCAACATCTTCATTGGTATGATGATCATCAATGTGAGTGTCCCCAGTAGCCTTCACATGCACATCAAACAATCCATGCGAAGCAAGTTGCTGAAGAAACATAAAGAAAATCAAACTATTAGCATAAAAGCAGATTGATAGTCCCAGAATAAAATTAACACCCGCAGCATTTTATTCGCTACTATACAAAAATAAGCCCAGTCCCACTAAACTTGTGATCAACCACATGATTCCTTTTTCTCCACTCTGTTTCGATTCATTGCTAGACTAATTGAAATTGACATCGACTTTTAGCAAATTATATTCATAGCAGACATATTACTGTATAAAACCAAAAGTTTCTTCCTTCAACACAAATCTTTCTGACAAAATATTTACATAACTAATCACTGAAACAGAAACAAAACTCACATCCAACATGTGGTCCAGAAATGGTATCCCTGTATTATTTTCAGCCACGGCATTACCATCCAGATTAATCTCCACGTGCACATTCGTCTCCTTCGTAACCCTCTTCACTTCTCCAACTCTTCCACCTATATCTCCCAAAGAATAATATCACCACCAAAAAAAAAAAAAAAAATCAAAAATCAAAAAATAAAAAATCGATCAAGTAATACTGTAAAACGCAACGGACTTGTTTAGGGAGGGTATAAACCCCATAAATCGAGCTTTAGCTTAGTGATGTAGGATACAATAGGAGTCATTACATTCCACCCCTATGTCCATGGCCACCATATACTAATTGTATCCGAGATGGCTAAGCTAAAAAATGATTAATACATTTATAGCCAGTAGGGTTCGGGCATCCCGGTTTTAAGGGTATGTTCTACTTTTACCCAAACTGGTCCTAACAAAAATCACAAAACAAAAGATACGCCAAAAATATTAAACTTAGACAAGTAATTACCCAGTTCTTTCGTCATCGAAGGAGACCCATTAGCATCGAAGGCGTGAGGGATTGTAAAGTGAGAGCGAGAGTCCATTATTGGAAAGAGGGTTCGGAGGAGATGCGACTTACGAAGGCGAGCGGGGAGAAGAACCGGTTGAGAGAGGTTAAATCGTGTTCTGGACAACCAAGCTGGGGTTAAGGTAGAAGAATTAAAGATACGATGACGAATCGAAACCTCCATGTAGTAGGCGGCTGCCACGGGTGGTGCTCGGAGGAGTGAGTGGCGGAGGAAGGGAATAGCACTCCTCAACTAAATACGTACTATACACGTGTGCAATTTTGAAAATTAAAAAAGTCCATAGGGTTTATGGGAATTGACTTTTTTTTTATGTGAGCCACCTATTCTTAAAAGAAAATCAAATATGATGATTAGAATAGTGAAATAATGGTCAAAAAATTAATTTTTTTTGAAGAAAAATACTCTCCAAACGAGCTCTTAAGTTAACTTTTAATTTTTATTAACTTTTTAACCATGAATTTCACAATTTTTTTCAAAATTTTCTAAAATTATCATTTTTAACAAAATCAAACAGGGACTGGAATTGTTTACTTATGAAAGTAACTTTTACTTACTCCTTGTTTGCTCCCATTATTTTCAAAAGATACATTTTCCTATATTTTAATTTCAATCACACATTTTTCATAAAATAATATCACACACAAATTTAAAATTTTTTTTTATTTTTTAACTATACATTCTCCATCAAATTATTATTCCCAAAGAATAATATTATGTAACTTCACTGAGATTGCATCCCTAATTTAGATGTCATTAGATGATAGATTAAATAAAATGTGAAATTAAATAAGTAATCTAATTTCACTTATTATTTTAATGTCACATTACCGCCACCTAAACTGGATTTGGAACTCCAGTGAAGCCAAATAGAATTACTCTGTTACAAAATGTATTTATAGAGGTGTAGAATGTATTTTGGAATAGTATGATTGATGAAGAATGTGTAGTTAAAAAATAAAAAAAATCGATCAACGTGTAATATTATTTCATTGAAAAATATTTAGTTAAAAAGAAGCAAAAGAAACATATATGTTGAAATTAATGGGCATCAAATAAGGGCTTGGTCTTTAAATAAGAATGGGGGGTGTTATATCCAGAATGTACTAAACATAGAAATATTGTAAAGACAAATGTAATAGGACCATAGGAGTTGCAAAGTGGACATTACACTAGCTTGGTTTTAGAGAACAAGGCATTAAGTCCTTGTTCGATATCCATTATAAAGATAAATTTTGGTAAAATATATTATGAAAATAGTATTTTTTGGAAGAATATGTGGTTAAAAATGAATGAAAATTTTTCTATTTACATGTAATATAATTTTATTGAAGAATATGTGGTTGAAAAGAAGAGATAGAAAAATGTATTAAAATTCTAAAGGATGCCAAACAAAGGCAAAAATTAGAGCTTCTTGTTTCTTAGATTGAGCTATTGAAGCAATGTGCCGGACTATAATCGATCACTTTTTGAAGAAATGATAACACATGGATAAGAGTTGCGATAGAAACTTCCATTATTGAAAATCATATCAGAATATAAGTTTCTTTAGGACTATAATCTTATCTTAATAACTTTTGTCGATAACATGCCTAATCTTTATCCGGAATAAAGTTTGTTATGTATCAATGAACATTTTTATTTCACATGACATATACAAAATGTTGGAAATAATCAACTTGGGTAATTGGCACAAAACGTCCCTACCTTTCAAGTCTATTGTGGAAAAAGTCTCTATCTTTCATTTTTTGACATTTTTGCCCCTATTTTCAAATTTCTTTGCACTGAACGTCCTTTTTACCAATTTTTGACATAAAATGACTAAAATACCCTTCTATTTAAATAAAACAAAAAAGAAAAGAAAAGAAAAATAAAAATAAATTGCAACTATAAGCCTAAACTTTTAAAAATGCAAAAAACCCCCCTAAATATAACTTCATCTTCTTCCCAAACATCACCCCCACAATACAGCCGCCGTCCACCTCACCAACCACCGCCTGAAACATCATTTTTAGGCTGCCTTTTGAGCAGGTTTTGGACAATCAGTCGGATTTGAATTTGCAAACTGGGAGATGCCAGTTCGATCAACTTACATAACACAAAATAAATCCAACTTCCAAATCAAAACTCATGCAACAAATCAAAAAATTTAAATTAAGATCAATAAAAATAAAGACAATTACCCAGTTCTTTCGTCATCGAAGGAGACCCATTAGCATCGAAGGCGTGAGGGATTGTAAAGTGAGAGCGAGAGTCCATTATTGGAAAGAGGGTTCGGAGGAGATGCGACTTACGAAGGCGAGCGGGGAGAAGAACCGGTTGAGAGAGGTTAAATCGTGTTCTGGACAACCAAGCTGGGGTTAAGGTAGAAGAATTAAAGATACGATGACGAATCGAAACCTCCATGTAGTAGGCGGCTGCCACGGGTGGTGCTCGGAGGAGTGAGTGGCGGAGGAAGGGAATAGCACTCCTCAACTAAATACGTACTATACACGTGTAATTTTGAAAATAAAAAAAGTCCATAGGCTTCATGAGAAAAAGTGAGCCACCTGTTCTAATAAAAAAATCAAATATAATGATTAAAATAGTAAAATAAAGGTCAAAAAATTAAATTTTTTTAAAAAAAAATACTCTCCAAACGAGCTCTTAAGTTAACTTTTAATTTTTATTAACTTTTTAACCATGAATTTCACAATTTTTTTCAAAATTTTCTAAAATTATCATTTTTAACAAAATCAAACAGGGACTGGAATTGTTTACTTATGAAAGTAACTTTTACTTACTACTTGTTTGCTCCCATTATTTTCAAAAGATACATTTTCCTATATTTTAATTTCAATCACACATTTTTCAATAAAATAATATCACATACAAATTTAAAATTTTTTCTTATTTTTTAACTATACATTCTCCATCAAATTATTATTCCCAAAAAATAATATTATGTAACTTCACTGAGATTGCATCCCTAATTTAGATGTCATTAGATGATAGATTAAATAAAATGTGAAATTAAATAAGTAATCTAATTTCACTTATTATTTTAATGTCACATTACCGCCACCTAAACTGGATTTGGAACTCCAGTGAAGCCAAATAGAATTACTCTGTTACAAAATGTATTTATAGAGGTGTAGAATGTATTTTGGAATAGTATGATTGATGAAGAATGTGTAGTTAAAAAATAAAAAAAATCGATCAACATGTAATATTATTTCATTGAAAAATATTTAGTTAAAAAGAAGCAAAAGAAACATATATGTTGAAATTAATGGGCATCAAATAAGGGCTTGGTCTTTAAATAAGAATGGGGGTGTTATATCCAGAATGTACTAAACATAGAAATATTGTAAAGACAAATGTAATAGGACCATAGGAGTTGCAAAGTGGACATTACACTAGCTTGGTTTTAGAGAACAAGGCATTAAGTCCTTGTTCGATATCCATTATAAAGATAAATTTTGGTAAAATATATTATGAAAATAGTATTTTTTGGAAGAATATGTGGTTAAAAATGAATGAAAATTTTTCTATTTACATGTAATATAATTTTATTGAAAAATATGTGGTTGAAAAGAAGAGATAGAAAAATGTATTAAAATTCTAAAGGATGCCAAACAAAGGCAAAAATTAGAGCTTCTTGTTTCTTAGATTGAGCTATTGAAGCAATGTGCCGGACTATAATCGATCACTTTTTGAAGAAATGATAACACATGGATAAGAGTTGCGATAGAAACTTCCATTATTGAAAATCATATCAGAATATAAGTTTCTTTAGGACTATAATCTTATCTTAATAACTTTTGTCGATAACATGCCTAATCTTTATCCGGAATAAAGTTTGTTATGTATCAATGAACATTTTTATTTCACATGACATATACAAAATGTTGGAAATAATCAACTTGGGTAATTGGCACAAAACGTCCCTACCTTTCAAGTCTATTGTGGAAAAAGTCTCTATCTTTCATTTTTTGACATTTTTGCCCCTATTTTCAAATTTCTTTGCACTGAACGTCCTTTTTACCAATTTTTGACATAAAATGACTAAAATACCCTTCTATTTAAATAAAACAAAAAAGAAAAGAAAAGAAAAATAAAAATAAATTGCAACTATAAGCCTAAACTTTTAAAAATGCAAAAACCCCCCCTAAATATAACTTCATCTTCTTCCCAAACATCACCCCCACAATACAGCCGCCGTCCACCTCACCAACCACCGCCTGAAACATCATTTTTAGGCTGCCTTTTGAGCAGGTTTTGGACAATCAGTCGGATTTGAATTTGCAAACTGGGAGATGCCAGTTCGATCAACTTACATAACACAAAATAAATCCAACTTCCAAATCAAAACTCATGCAACAAATTGAGCTATTGAAGCAATGTGCCGGACTATAATCGATCACTTTTTGAAGAAATGATAACACATGGATAAGAGTTGCGATAGAAACTTCCATTATTGAAAATCATATCAGAATATAAGTTTCTTTAGGACTATAATCTTATCTTAATAACTTTTGTCGATAACATGCCTAATCTTTATCCGGAATAAAGTTTGTTATGTATCAATGAACATTTTTATTTCACATGACATATACAAAATGTTGGAAATAATCAACTTGGGTAATTGGCACAAAACGTCCCTACCTTTCAAGTTTATTGTGGAAAAAGTCCCTATCTTTCATTTTTTGACATTTTTACCCCTATTTTCAAATTTCTTTGCACTGAACGTCCTTTTTACCAATTTTTGACATAAAATGACTAAGATACCCTTCTATTTAAATAAAACAAAAAAGAAAAGAAAAGAAAAATAAAAATAAATTGCAACTATAAGCCTAAACTTTTAAAAATGCAAAAAACCCCCCTAAATATAACTTCATCTTCTTCCCAAACATCACCCCCACAATACAGCCGCCGTCCACCTCACCAACCACCGCCTGAAACATCATTTTTAGGCTGCCTTTTGAGCAGGTTTTGGACAATCAGTCGGATTTGAGTTTGCAAACTGGGAGATGCCAGTTCGATCAACTTACATAACACAAAATAAATCCAACTTCCAAATCAAAACTCATGCAACAAATCAAAAAATCTAAATTAAGATCAATAAAAATAAAGACAGGTCAATTGCTCGTAAGGCATTTACAGGAGCTCAATTTCTCCCACTAAGTCATTAATTATCATAAAAGGAATAAAATTTAATTAAACAACAAAACTCTGAATCCAATAATCACAATCAAATTTGTCAACTATAAAACACAGAATCAATCCAAATTCCAAATCA